ATAAAATCTCGTAAATTGATTACTGCAATTACAAGAGCTCTAAAAATAGCGAAACTTGGTGTATGTACTAACTAACCTATGAGCATTCCATTTTAAGAAAAATCTGCCCACTTGATTTTCGTGTCATAACCCCTTTAACGGGCGACTTGTCTCTCAGCTCTAGATGAGCAATTTATCCAGTGTTACAATCGCTAGCCTGGGTTTTTTAACGTGGGGAAAACAAAAATGGCATATCATTGTGTTTTGTCCGTTTTGTCTCGCGAGAAACTGTTCCTGGCTGACGTGCTGCGGTTTCTGGTATTCCTCAGGGGCTATGCCAAAAAGCAGACCTCGTTTAGCACGCTCCGATCTTTCCTGTACATCCATCCAGCCTTTCATCCAACGAGACCTTTCTGCGCCTGTGGTGTACTGAAGTGTTATGCGCGAATATGCGGGAATGAGGACATCGCTAAACGTCCCTGTGCAAGCCCAGGACTTTGTCGCATGCACGCCGAGCCACAGCCTCCTATATAAACTTATATGGGAAGCTCTGACCGGAGCCGCCTCAAGCAGGACCACACTTGTGTCATGGCTTGCGTTAGTAAAGCTTATGGCGTCCCCGTTAATCCTGTCAAGGTGTTCTGTCTCACTTTATACGTAACAGCCACACACAACAATTATTGCTCTTTGTAATGCGATACCGCCGCTCGCAACACTATTGGCAATAAGGGATCTCTACAAAAACTAAGGTGCATACACACAGCTGCGTTTAAACGCGTTTGACTGCGTTGCGTCGACGCACGGCCGCGAGTCACTGGGTCATCCGTGCATCGTGTGAAGCGTGGCAACCGATTCAGGGAGTGGCTTGGCAAGCGGCGTGCGAAGCACGAATTTCCTACCCGCAGTCGCAACGCGGTACAACGCCACAACATTGTCAAACTACACAGCGCCGCTACAGCTCACCGCGCCATCTACGCTCCTTACCACTATACTCTACCGAAACCGACGGTTCACTGTTGACGTCACCTCCGTTTTAAGAGTGGTTGTATGGCGAGAAAGCCGAACGTCAGTTTTGGTTTCGTTGATTTATTTTACACGAAATAATACGCCTCATATAAGTGTTTAAAAAGAGTGAGCATATTGCTAGGGGCCTAGAGAGTCGGGAACACCCTTTTCTAAAAAAAGTTCAAAATTGTCTTCAAAATTGCCTTAGGACTAGCCAAAAATAAAATATTAGAAATACACTGCCAGGACCCATCGATGTTTTTTCATTTCTACTAAAGTTATTTTGGCAACGGTGCGACAGTTTTGCGGATAAATCAATTTATATGCAGGACCCTAAGATCTACGCCTTTTGGAAAAGTCCGTCGTGACTTTTCAGCGGACGACGTCAGCGGACGTCATCCGCTGAACGCCCGGCGTCCCCTTGCACGCACTTATGGTATATTCGGCGGGTCGCTTTTCAGCCTTTTAAAGCGCTCTGAAAAGCCGGTGTGCATTCGGCTGGTCGATGCCAGGCGCTCCAAGTATATCCGGCTTGTTCGTTCGGATCGCTCTCGAAGCTCAGACTCTCGCCGTCCTCCGAATCGGAGCTGTTTGAGGCGCTCTGACTTGGAAGTGGGAGCGCGCGAGAGATCTAGCTGACGACCGATCACGTGACTCCAGCCATTCCGCCATGATGCTTTTCGGTCGAAAGCTACTCCGCAGAAAGAGGGCTGCGAAAAACAGCCGTCAATCTCGACGCCGTCACCGTTGTGTTGTGCTCCCCGAAATGAGGTGAAATGTCGTTGAAACGAAGACGTTTAAATATTAGGGGCGGCACCGTCCGCGTTGATGGCTGCCATTTTTCAAGGATTGACGGATGAATGAACGACTGAATACTGCTGAACCCTTTGAATCCGAGCAGCAAATGTTCCGCTAGAGGACGGCTCGCGCCGTCCTCTATAACGGCGCCGGCCACCCTCTATCCGCTCGGCTTGCCGCTCTGAAAAGTTGAGGAGCGTTCGGCTGGGCGCGCCGATTTTCTCGCTCCGATGCGGAGGCGCTCTAGGATCTGGCAGCTCCGACTCGGATGATTGGAGCGCTCGAAAGCGACCAACCGAATATACCATGACAGACTTGGCTCTAGGGGTGTCGCGAACTTTTGTCGAACCGGATATTTAAGTTAAGTTGAACTTTGGGGGTTCGACTTGTTCGAACCGGTTCGGCGAACCTTCGACATTTTAACCAGATTCGACAGCTTCGACTTTGCAGACAGTGTGGCCAGACCTTGGTACAAGCATGTCTAGATCTGAAGAACTTATTTTTTTTTTTAGCAGAGGGTTATTTTAGTTTTATGAACAGTTGCAATTAAAATAAATTAATTCTAATTACTGAAGAAGTTAATAGCTTAATTTTTTTGTACTGTATTAACTGAAATAACCAATCAGTGCCGCCCTTCATTCATACCTTAGCCATCGCCATCCAATCCGAAGTTAACTGGCCAGCCTGTCGCGCATACGCGCACGAGTCGAACCTCAATACAAGATTCGTCGAACTCTCCACTAAAAGTTCGAAAAAGTCGAACCTGGTCGAACTTGGACCTCGGCCGGTTCGCGACACCCCTACTTGGCTCTCTCTCGAGCTTCAGCTTCCTCGTTTACCTACCGCGTTTCGAGGATGCGCTTGGTTACAATTACGTCTACGGTTTCGCTCGCTTCATTGAAGCCTTCGACACTGTTCGCAGCAGCGATGAGAAGGATCGTTATCAAAAGATGTTGGAAGCTGGTCATTTAGACTGGCGGCCCGTTGGCGACCAGCTCCAGCAACGACGAGTCGCGGGCAAACTCGCCGTGGTCGCCGTCGTCCGTGACGATCTCGCAGGTGCATGCAGGGCGGAAGGTAAAAGGGTCGGGGGGGGGGGGGGGGGGGGGGAGAGAGCGAAAATAGCGTTGGAGTACCCGAACGGTGTGAGAGGTTTCGATCGCACCGTGGCGAGGCAAGCTATGGCGATTATGGGGCGCCTAGAATGAGAGAGTGCTCATGATCACCTCGTTTATTGGCACCATGGTGTGACTAACTTTGGCAGTGTTGCCTGGTCGCCAGATGAGAGTTATAAAAATCCGTAAATTGATTACTGCAATTACTAGAGCTCTAAAATTCTGAAACTTGGTGTACCTACTATGAGGTCAATGAGTATTCTATTTGAAGAATAATCTACCCGTCTAATTTTCGTGTCCTCACATCTTTGAGTTGTAAGTGACTGTGACGTGGAGTGTTATTATAATGTACGTTAGAGGTTCAACTGGCGCTAGTGTCCATGCGACTTCCGGGGCTTAAATTGAAGCAGACAGCTTCAACAGTTTACTTTGGCGGTTCTCCTCTGCATTCCTCCGGGAATACTCGCGTGCATTTCGTCTCTCCGCCGGAAAATAACACGGAACACTTTCTCATTTGGGTCGTACCGAATAATACGTACTTTTATTAGCATTGTAAAGTGTCATTGTTGTAGTAAGCGCATTTTTCTTCATCAGTGAACGAAGTTTAACTTCGCTATATTTCAGGCCTAAACCTCTGTTCCACGGCAGCAGGTGCGTAAAACAAGCGACGATTATAAGCAAAATAACGATCGAGAGGAATATAAAGTATGTTCAAGGTTCGCCAGCATTCCGGAGACGCCCATATATCGCTAATATGCTAGTCCTGTCACTATATGAAACTTTCCAGGTCTTGCATCTTTACGAGCGGTTAAAAACATTCGAAACGTAAAGAATAAAGTACGTGGGCCATGAAAGGTGTGTTTTTATTATTTTCTGTGCCGGGCAGTTTTTATCAGGCGCATATTTTCAAAATTTTTCATCGTGCGGGTGATGTTTTGAACGTAAAACAAGCATTTTTGCACAGAGCAGAAATAGTAAAGCAGTACTTACTTATTAAAAACTAGAACATATTTTGTGACCTTTATTTTATTTTGATCGTTCATGCACAGGAAGTTACTGGTCCAGTATTGCTGCGTATAGCTCTTGCCGTCTTTCTTGGTTTTCCATATGTGCTTTGTCCGTTTGGCACGTATATCCCCCCCTCTGAAACGCGCCGACGTCGTGTTCGCTGACAGTGTCCGACAGTGCACATAAAAACATGTAGGAATCCGTTTTAGAGCCGTTTTTAATGCAATGAATTTGAAATAAAAAAGAAAACGCGGTAACTGACTAATTTTTTTCTCTGCGTGACCGAAAAATGTTCCGAGCTAGTTAGTACGTACGAATTATTCGTGATATTTTCTCTTATAATCGAGTGCGGGGAGAAAATGCACTGACTTTTTCCCTTAGAAATGCACTACCAGAAGTCAATTTTCGACTGGTTGCAGTCTGCTTCATTTTGCGACAACACACTAGCGCCACTTGAACCTCTAGCGTACATTGTAATAACTCCGTGCTTGGAACGCGTCTCCAACTGGTGTGTTTATCACGTCCAAAAAACTCGTCCTTAGATTTCCTCCTGATGATATCATAGAAGCGTCATGCAGTCACCGGTCACGATCCTGCGTGTGTCCGAGCAACGGTGGTGGATCTGGCAGACGCCTGTTCTGCTGCAGGTCGCTCCCAGCTTCACAGTTCACGAAAGTTTCGGCAGCCAGGAGCTACGACCCCGTGACAACAGCGGCACTCACCTTTGCTCGTGCTTTTTCTCAAAACTCCTACGACCAACCACCAAGCTCGCAACATTCAAGAGCCTAACACTTTTTTTGACGTCCTTTGTTGCCACTGCGGGACAACTTTCGATGCGTGGGAGGAAGGGCACACTAGGCACACCATTCGTTGACGCATTTCAGGCATCGTATAGTTTGGACCGCCGATTAGACGTGTGGTCGTCTTCGTGACACCTCAGACGGTGCAGTATTCGCGATGCTTCGTCATGCGGCCATGCGCCCCCTCGCTGGCCTGTCTCCGGGACGTCAAGTTCCGAGTCCGATGGCCCGGTATACCCGTCTCGCGACAGCTGCCAGTCAGGAAGCGAAAGAGAGACGGCGGCAGGGTACTCACTGTCGAGGCACCCGTCGCCGTACTCCAGGGGCGGCGGGATGAGCACCGCATCCAGGGAGTTTTCCGACTCGCCGTCGAAGGTGCTCCCGCTCTGGCGCCGGACCGCCACGCACGAACTGGCGTTGGTGCCGGCGGAGGAACTGTTCTCCAGGCTGTTCGCGTAGGCCACAGAGGTGGCCACCGCCACAGCCTGCTCCGAAGCCTGCGCGCAACAAAACACACGTGCCCACAATTAAGCCGCGGTCAGCCTGCTATACTTCATAAAAAAAGACAGTGTGTATGCACTGAGGCGAGCTTTTTCCTCGCATGACGGTCACATTGATCGCAGAAAAACAGCGTGAGGGCATCTTCGAAACATCTAAATGAGGGAAACATGCTACGCACATGCTTGAGGCGCGTCCGCACATAATTCTATCATCATGTCTGTAGCAAACATCGTATCTTTTGTGTGATATAAAAGCCTTTTGACTGCTACTTTACGTACAAAGGTCTAACCTAAGCTGTTGAGTACGCTTTCACTCACAGGTGCGGTCCGATGACAGCCGGCCCGCGCGTACCTTAAGATTCCAAATAAACTCCCACCCAAAGTGAAAAGAGTAAAGAGGGGGGGGGGGGGGGGGGTAGGAGATGGGCCATGCTTTGGGAGTGAACGTTCATTCGGGTTTTTACGATAGTTCGGACCAATATTCGAGTCGTCAAAACCGCACGCGACAATGGCTGAATTTCAGATAGCCGTACAGCCTCGGTGCAAATGGGCTGGTTAACCGCGTCCCCGGCGGTTGGTTGTGTTGGTGACTGAAAAGTTGTAGCTTCAATGTGTCTACGGCGGAACTCGTCTGCCATGTCCTAGAGCATCAACGGGGCTGCAGACATCGTGAGTCCTCAGGTCGCAAGTTAGCTGGTCAGAAATCAATGCCGTTGACACTCTCAGAAGCTCCTGCGTGTACGCTGCCCCGCGATACACTCGGACTACCAATGATAGCTCTCCGTTTGACTAGTTTGGCCATTGACAAGTGGCTAACACACCCGGATAGCTATGCAGTCTTAGTGATAAGAAGATTTATCTAAAGACTACCCCGTTTGCCGTCGAGACCGTATAGCCCTTTCAGAGCACAATCCGGATCGCCGTCCACGTTGGTTGAACTGGTTCAAGAAAGACCACACGTCGGTGTTTACGTGAATCACTATGCGGTATGCACTCAGGCCCTTCTGAGAGTGAAGAGCCGCTTTGCCATCAAACCTGGCATTCCCAACCCAAATCAAAAGCACATTAGAGGTCTTCAATTGTAGCAGTCACACTGAGCACGAGACGTCGTTAGATGCCTCCTTATTGTTGGCCCGAACATAACGTCAGTGGGTCACAATTGGTCAGCATTTGAGAGGTTCTCGTGGCCGCAACTTCAAGCGCCCCACTGTGAATTAAGTTCGAGTCTTTAATCCTCTGATTTCAGAGATTTTATACTTGCACGTTTGTGTTACGTTAATGTTAACTTTGCATAAGCTTGCTCTTTCCGAAGAATTGCTTTTTGTCTCATCTTATGAGCACACCCCCAAAAGTATACTTTATATGATAATGTAACAATCAATAATGCAGACATTAACTTGTGTCAGTGTCTCAAAACAAACGTGCAATAATTTCCTAGTTTCTTTCTTTTTTTAAGAACACATATATTTCCAAGAGTACTTTTGTTTTGTAGAGAAATTCGAACAAAACCTGAATTTCAGTTCGCTTCGAAACAAAATATTTGTACCATAAAGAGCGTGCGTGCAAACTTGTCAGCGAAAAAGACAATATTGCGTTTTTTCTTGAAGAGAAGTTTGTTTCACTGAAATAAATTTTACAGGAGTTTACAATGTTATTTCTTGTTTTGAAGAATTCAGACTTACGTGGACTTCAGTTTGTAGGGAGATTTCGCCTTTCTTTTTTATCTTTTGATCCAAATAACCGTAATGTTATCAAACTTTCGCATCCTCTTCGCACCGCTAGCGTCATGTTCTCACGAAGTTTCAGCTTTCAGGAATGTGTGGTTTATTTGTGTGGCCTGAAAACTCGGGTTTCATTTTCTCGACCGAACCCAATACTTATAGCTTATGTTTGTCTCTTTCATTTGTATTTAAGTTGTTATTATTATAATGCGGTTATTATGTTGTTCGTGTTTATGTGCTACTATCAAACTGTAATGGGTAGAAAGAACTTGTCAGGGATAAAAGCCTATTTTTACTCTACTGCCCTGCCGTCCTTGACCTGCAGACAGAAACAAATAAATAAAACGAAAATATCATATCACATTTGAAGTTGCACATGCAGTCATGTCAGTTTTAAGTACTCTTTGGATTTTTTTCTTGTGTGTGCTTGTGTGTGCGTGTGTGTGTGTGTGGGGGGGGGGGGGGGTAACCGTAAACAAACACATTTTCGAAGGGCCCATTCTGCCGGTAGCCAGTTCTAAGTTTTCAGACAACAACGACGCACTCCGAGCCAAGAGCAGATTTCAGAGCAACCCTTTGGAAGTCAGCCTGTTTGCCGTAAATCTTTTCTTACAAGCATTTATGGCTCCTCGTCATACCAAACAAGATTTCGTGAATTACGTCTTAGGTCCCCCGTGAGGAATCGAGCAGAAGCCAACAGACCCTCAAAAACTGCTCGTTTTCATCTGCTCGCCTCCAGGCCTCTTTACTCGCAAAATAACTCATAATGTTTTACAAATTACTTGCGTAGGCTTCTCTAGAACATAGCCTTTTTTTACGATCATTGCTGTGATGTATCGTGTTTACAAAACTGCGCAGCCGTTTACTCGAATGAGCCATCAGAGGCATGGTGCTCAAGAAAAGGCGAAAATTTTCGGTACCGAAGAAACTTGGGCGGGTATAATTTCTAAATAAATTGCTGCGAAGCCTCAGACTCAAAGCGCCGCAGTCAATGTTCCGTAATGGTTGTATTATGCCTCGGCTAACTGCAGTTATGTTTTTTTTTTGTTTTTATTTCTAACTTTGTCGTTTTTAGAATGCGTGCTATTTAGCTGATGATCTGGTTTCTATAACGAATCTATCTACAATTTTCATAATTCATACATATCCCTTCTCTCAGGCGCGTATTTTTTTATTATTATCGTAGCAAAACCTGCAATATTTGACAACTACATCATTATACCGGGTGTTCAATTTTAATTCGAACCGATTTATTCAAAAGAAACGTGAAAGTTATACTTACGCTGCTTGTGGAGGTGAGTTATACGGCCAGGGGACATATTATAGGGGGCTAATCGTAACGATCAGTTGGCTAATTAACTAAAATTCAATAATAACTTTTTAATTAATGAAAATAGACATATGGTACCAATTAGAAACTTGCTCAGCGTCATCGAAAAGCACTAAATCAGTCATTTTCAGAAAGACTTTGAGCGCGTGAGAAGCGTAGTAGTGCACTAAATTTACCACTCGTGGAGCAGGTACAAAGCTAGCGGTTGCAGTAAGGCGCCCGCGCGATTTTTCCGTCTCTTATCCGGCCCCAGCCTTGTACCTGCTCCACGAGTCGTAAATTTAGTGCACTACTACGCTTCTCACGCGCTCAAAGTTTTTCTGAAAATGACTGATTTAGTGGTTTTCGGTGACGCTGTGCAAGTTTCTAATTGGAACCGTATGTCCATTTTCATTAATTAAAAAGTCAATTAACGAATTTTAGTTAATTAGCCAACTGATCGTTACGATAAGCCCCCTATAATATGTCCCCCTGGCCGTATAACTCACCTGCACAAACCGTATCAGTGCATCTTTTACGGATTTTTTAAAATAAATATGTTCGAATTAAAAATGAACACTCGGTATATATATATATATATATATATATATATATATATATATATATATATATAAATAAACAGAGAGAGAGAGAGAGAGATACACCTTGAAAAGAAAATCTCGCACACACTGTAAATAGCTCATTTTCACGGGGACCTATTTTACGAAAATTTAGCGACCTGAAACATATCGTGAAAATTTGATCACGCGAATACATTACCTTATTTTGACGAATACGTAGCATTTCACTCCCAACCGACATATATTCCCGAAACCCACACTTCGATAAGTCGCGAAATATTGAGCCCGCCAAAAAAAAAAAAGAAGGAAAAGTCGTTTTTAATATCTAATTTTAGTCTAGCTAACTGAGCCCGCGAGCTAAACGAGAATATACAACAGACATCGAGAACGGACATTGTCAGGTCGTGTATTATCATATGGCGCCATCTAACTTCCGATCGTTATTGTTAAATAGGTGCCTCTTTCACCCAATATCCTTAAGTGTTTTCCTTTTAACATCGTACCTAGAAAAGAGCGACCATTCGAAAACCAGCTTATGATTACACCCTCCTATAGCCATCTGCGATATGAGAACATCAAGGAAGTCTCCGCCTATACTGAAAACAACGTTCCACTACATGCCCTATATAGGGCATTGAAAATTCGCATTGGTAATCACCAATCTTTAAAAAAAAAAATGGCGCTGACAGACGTTTCTTTTTTATTGCTGCGTCAGAAAAATGTTACGTTCTTGATGGTAAACGTAAACAAACAAGTTTTATTTAAAAAAACGATTTGGACGAATAAAAAGAGTAATAGCGACCTTTATCTTTAATGTCCTATCATGTATGAAATGCAGTATGTAGGAGCGATTGAATTGAATGTTTAGAAGACGTTAAACTGTCGTTCCGGGAGTCAAGAACCTGCATTTTTTAAATCAAATTTGGGGGCGCTGAATTGGTGTGTTACCTGACAATTAAGGAGGAAGAGCAATAGGAGGAAACTGGGGAAGTAGAGAGGACACTGTACGACGGTGAGGAGAGGGACTGGAAAGGGGAAGGAACGAGGGAGGAACGGGAACAATTAATCGTGTGATATGGTACGTTATTGGGCCAGTTGGTTCATCTTTAGTTAAACGTATAAATTAGCACAAAAAAGGCAACGGCAAGGAGTAAACCAGGACAAGTGCCAATTTTCAAATAGTGTTTGGACAAGAAGTAAACAGGACGAGCGCTAACGTTCAACTAGTCTGCACTGATGAAGTCTTGTAACCACCAGGCGGATGCTGTTTTAAATGCCAAATTTCTAGACTGGAATTGGCTGGCTTCCCGTGTTCGGTTTTGGTTTCTGTGGCGGAGATTGCCATACAGAAAATGAAGGTGTTTAAAAGAAGGGTCTTAACGAGGCAAAGAACAAAAAGACCAGAAGTTACTCCGTACCTCCACAAAGTTGCCCACAATCTGAAGAAAGTGGCAAGCAAGTAAGTACGTTGTGCCCGTTGTTTTCTCCGCACAAAAGAAGTTGGCTGGGTTGTGCTGCCGCATTTCTGATGAGAAAGCAAAACGGCCATGTGATAAGAAACACGTCACCCCTTACATGGACTGCACAGCGGGTGTTGCCTACGAAATCCCACTGAGTTGGGGTAAGGTCCACATCGGCCAGGCGGGGCGGAGCATCAATGACCGAGCACGGGAGCACGCGCATTATCAGTAAAATATAAATATGGCTCGCATTTGCCTATACACTGCAACACGTGTGGCTGTGTTCCGCGACTTCAGCAGATAAGGATTCTGGGGAGAAGCCGTGAGACTGTCGCTCGTGAACTTTTGGAGGGGTTCCTTATCAAAAAAGGGAGACGGCATGTGTCAGCGACGTGTCAATGGACCCTTTTCAAGAGTCCATCGAGCAACATTGCTCGGTCACCATTGCTTGCTCCCAAAGCGTGTGATTCGCTCCGATTCCTCGCCGAACGGTGACGTCAGCGCTCATTATCAACACGAGCTAAGCCGAGTTGACGCCGAACGCTCACGTGACCCTCGTGTCCAATACATGCTCAGAGTATGTGAGCAAGCAATGGTGGACAGTCGTTGGCGCGGACTTTTGAAAAAGGTCTATTGTGCTACATGAGAATACATTTCAGTTTCTGCATGATCGGATACTGATATCAGCTTGTACGTGTTGTTGCTTCGCGTGTAGTGTGTATATCTGCTTCCCTTCTCCTCAGTAAAACTGGTTGAAAGTTACCGATTGTCCTGTTTGCTTCTTGTCCTTTTCTTCTTTTTTTGTGCTAATTTATACGTCTATTTGTGTGACATGACCAAGGAGGTGGAAGGGGAGGATAGCAAAGAGACGAAACAGGAAAAAAGGCACCATAGGAGAATGGGCGAGAGATGGGGAGACAGAGGAACAGGGAAGTGAGAGGGAGTGGGAACGGCAGGAGCGGTAGAGAATTACAGGTAGGTGGGGAGGGAGGAGAGAGGGAGAGGAAGCAAGGCGAATAAAGGGATTAGGAGAGAGGGAGGGGGAAGGGAGAAGAGGGATGGGGAGAGGGAATTGCTGTGTCGAGTGGCGCATATTTCCCCGCTACATTTAGCGGGGAAACTAAACTGTCGTGTAGGTCACGTGACATCGATTTCCCCAGCTAAATTTAGCGGGGAAATGGAGGCGGTGTTTTGGTTACGTGACGTCAATTTTCCTGCTATATTTAGCGGGGAAACTGAATTGGCCTTAGGTCACGAGGCGTCAATTTCCTCGGGAAATTTAGCGGGGAAACTGAACTGGTGTTAAGATCTCAAGACGTGAAATGTCTCGGTAAATATTAGGAGGAAACTGAATTTACGTGTTGGTCACGTGCCGTCATGTTCCCCACTTTATGTACAGGTCACGTGACGTTAGGTTACGTGACGTCAATTTCCTCGCTAAACTCTATCAGAAAATGTACGGACGGACATCATTTTGGGGGTTGAGGGTTTCTGTTAAAAAAGCCTCTTTCGCTTTAAAAGCCCAACTCCGCGGGTATACACAATCTTCATCAAAAGAACATTTTGAAGCAACCTGGAACCGGAGGATTCGTGTTCCTCACTCCCGGGTTGTTTCAAAATGTTCAGTATACACCAGCTCACCTGCTCTCTTACTATTTTGTTCGTTTATCAACAGCTTTATTTTGTGTTCACCCGGAACACAGCCCCTATTCAAATGTCTACAAGGCTGATTTTTTTCCTTCGGTAAGCGCAGCCTTTATCTCGCGTCCTCCTTTTATCGGTACCTGGTCCTTTTCCAAGCAATCGGGTCGCGCAGGTGCTCCCTGGGGGTTGTAGAACTCCATGTCCTCTTTTACGGAACAAAAGCCCTTATAAACGCAGATTTTCTTTTTATCTGACACCAAAAATATACATCCAAAACCACCGGATACCAGGAAAAAGACCCCCCTTCCCCCCCTCCCCCCCCCCCCCCCACCTTAAAAAAAAATATTGGTACAATAGTTTTGTATGTCGTGGGTATGTTTAGATAGCCGAAAGTTAATCAGCCTCAATAGTTGGCGTATTCGCTGATGATGAGAAATTTAGGCAGTGCAGCACCCCTGCAAGTCTGGCGTTTTGCAACCTGCATTGCGCAGTAGTTGTTACAACTATACTATTATACTCGCGAGCAGCCCAGAATATATTAGAAGAAAAATAAATACCAAGGACCCTGGCCGCCCTATTATAAACGCTACTGAACCTAATTGTAAGAAGAATGCATCTTGCCATTCATTTGTCTCTAAACTATATTTGGAATGGAACCGCCTTCCGGCTTCTATCGTATGCATTGTTAGTTATTAACGGTTCAAAAACGCCGTTAACACCCTTCACGGTTTTGAGCCTCCATAATGTTGTCTTTTGTTGTTACCGCTCTCTTCTGTAATGCCGATGTCCCTGAGGGTATGCAAAGAGACAAATAACTAAAAAGAATATATTTCCACCAGGAAATAATGCCGCAAAGTTAATTAGCCTCGGAACGGTGCAAAAATGCGACGGCTTTTACGACGGCGGCTTCTCGAATTCATCCGACGATGGCGGCGTTAAAGATGACCCAATTATTCGTGCTGGGTTTCCGCTCCGAGAGGCTATCGTCTTCCGAGGAATTCCCGCCCAGCTCGCTCGGCCGCTTGGCCGTCGGCGCCGGTCCCCTACTTTGGCCAGGGTGGGCCGGCGAGCCCGGCCTTGCGTAAGATTCGCTGAACGCATGTTTGCCCGTGGTCCCCGCGAGCGAACATGCGCACGCGCGCCCAGCGCTAGCGAGATCACGAATCCGTCGATACTGCACGATAGATGTATGCTGCCACCAAGCGCCCATTTCGGACCGCGGAGGAATTGGGCGCTGCGCACAACGCTTCGCTTTATAGAAAAAGCCTTCTTCGATTGACGTTGTCGTTAAACGGAAGCCGCAACATACGCAGCCAAGCAGCTAAGCTGAAGTAAGACCGCGTGAAATCTGGCGAGTGTTTGTACCATTTACGGAACTTCGGCTCTAATTTTAGACGCACGCAACCGTGGGCTCGGCTATGATGTATGATTACGAACCGACAGCACTATGAGGTTTCGAGACGGTTGCTCCAATCACACGAATGCTCATCCAAAGGTTACAAAAGGAAGAGCGGAGAAGAGAAAGGTTATAACCTTGCCCGACCTTGTCTTTTCTTCCGTTTAGATATTTTAGCTCTGTTTAATGGTACCCAGAGTTTGTGGATATATGCAAGTCACGTTATTTGTAATTTTTGCACACGTAATTTTTTAACAGTTCGTTTACTTTTTTGCGAGATAATTAAATTATTAATCAAAAACTCACATGGAGGCGTATACTCGTACACCTCGTCTAACTCGATTTATTCAATCCTTGTCTATTTTCGTTTGCAAATTATTAAAATTGACATTTTTCAGTTCATTTCTCAAGATTTCAGGAAAATGGGAGTGGCTAATGATTTTAGTTATATACGATGCGAATTATTCTGTTTGAACATAGAAACCAGATTGCATAACAATCAACTCTGTACACAGTAACGAAACCATAGCGATAAACTTTCTTTTCCGGTTATCATCTCCAGTTGATCCCTTTTCACTGGTAGATATTCCCAGACAAGTGCAGTCGATTTGTCTTTTCTGGAATAGACCAAGTCCTATGTACGGCTTGCACGTGAAATCCTCGCGTCATGCGGGTGGTCATTCTTATTTATTATTACGGAGAAAAACACATTTTATGGTTTTAAACGCTGTCTCCAGAATGCACGCTCTCATGAGCAAAGCTACTCCAACGGCCGCTGACGCGACGCCAGTGCAAGCCACGTATACACAAACCACCATCCCTTCAGCGCCACTAAAAAACAAAGAGAACCGATCGAAGCAGCGCGCCCGCACGTCAGCAGCAGCATGCAGCCATGGCCACAGTTACCTTCTTGCACATGAACCTCCAGCCGTGCTGAGAGGAGGCCTTATGCGCAATGAGGCCCAAGGCCAGGAGCCAGGAGCGGGAGCCCAGCTCGTCCTGGGCGGCCAGCACCAGGGGCGACCTGCCCTGGCAGACGAGCACCAGGGCGTTGGGGAAGCGCTTCGAGTCGGACGTGAAGCCCACGTGCACCGTCTGGGCCAGGTCGAAGCAGAGCCGGCAGCACGGGGACCTCAAGCAGGGTGCCGTGCCGGCCTGGGACAGAGCCTCCTCCTGGCTCGTGTACAGCTCGAGCAAGGGGCCGCGCTCGCTCGTCTCGTCTTTGAGCACCAGGAACCGCTTGTGCCACGCCTGGGAAAGAGAGAAGCCGTCAGCCCTGGTTCCACTGTCAAGGCAGCCGCAATCATGCCCCTCGTACATTGTACGAAAGCCATGGTGTTCGCAACATACATGTATGGCAGAACTATATGTGGACACGCTTCAGGCACTCTCAACGCACGTTTGCTTAATACAATATGTATGCCTATGACATGCATGTAGACAGTTTTTGTATGAACAGTGTGACCGTCATACAAGGAAGAAACGCGCGTCAGACAATGTCCGTAGACTGTCGTTTGTATGATGTATGGCCACCGCTCAATGTTTTGAGGTGAAATGTAAGCAAAGCTATGCCATTTAACTACAGACGGGTTTAGTTTCATGTATAGTAGGAACTCGGAGCGCTCCGTGTGCCGAGCAGCGCAGTGTGATACTCTTGCTTAATCTGCTTACCCTTCTCCCCAGAGTCGCCAACAAGGACGTTGCGGGACAAGTTGGTGCACGATGCTCAGGAAACTTGTTAGCGCAAACGGAGACGAGCACGAAGAAAGGGACACGCACGAGCGACACTAAGGAAGTTCACTCGCGATGTAGAGAAAAAGGACGTCCGCAACGGGTCCTCGATTCAATTTTCCTTTCTACACATTTATCGTGAACTTCTTGGTAGTACTTGCCCGCGTCCCATTCTTCCTATCCGTCTCTGCTGGCGCTTACCAGTTTTATGAAGCGAGCAGCAAACAGTCACACTCTGTCAGGCTAGCTCAACATTCTTCCTGTTTTGTCCTTGTTTCATTACCTATGTTTCGCTCGCACGGACTGTGGGCGAGTTGAGTTCCGACGAACTTTCTGAAGCCACGTTTGTCGATCTGTAGAGCGAACTATATACATGTTTGCTCTATACATGCCTACAGACGGTTGTTGTGTGAAAAATGTGACAAGATCATCAACAGCGAAGAAATACCACAGGAGTCATCTGCAGACTGTCATTCGTGTGATGTAATACCAGTGTGACCGCGGCTTCAGAGATCTCGTCTGCCTCGCACTGCAACACTGTCATTCGAAAAGTTACCCCCACGCGTCCCTTCGAAGCTACCACGTGCAACCGCCTCCGTACTACACCGGCTTCGCACAGGCTGTGCCTATACTGCATCTGCCATCCACCGAATTGACGTAACGATGAGCCCAAACTGCTCTACTTGTGACACTCGTGAGGATGTGGACCATCTCTTTTGGGCCTGTTCCAATTACGCAGACGAGAGAAAAATCTTCGACAAACTACAGATCGCCGGAGTTACCCGCTCTACTACGCAAGATATTCTTCCCCCCCCCCCCCCCCCCCCCCCCGGCTCCGTTCGTGATGCCGCAAGAACATTCTCTTGTCTTCTTGTATTCCTGGAAGATACCTGCCTACTGGACCGCTTGTAAAAGTGCCGACAGTTCTGTAAATAGATATACAGTAGTGGACAAACCTAATCAAGTAGCTGTGACTTCATCCAAGATGCCTTCTCTCTTCCCTCTTCACCTTTCTAATCTTTTCTTTTGATCCCCTCTTTCCCCATCCCCAACCTGGAACTGGCTTGCCCCCAATCGACGGTGTGGTTAATAAGTTCCAGGCTTCCTTTCTTTCCAACACTTCTCTCTCTCTCTGGCGTGGCTCAGACCATTTAGAAACTCGACCCATTCGTCTGCAAATCTGCACGCAAAGGAGGGTCGTACGAAAAAGCTTCCAATCCACGCAGTGAATGTGGTTGGACAGCGCAGCTGAAGTACCCCCTGCAACGATTGCCCACTGCACTATAGACCCTTTTTATGGCAAACGCCACCTGGTAATGCTCCAGTCTTTGGCATAACAAAAAAATGTCGGTTTATAAAGAAAAAAATGAACAAGGCCACCTTAACATTACTGCTTGAAATGTAGATGAAACGTTTAACCATCAATTCTTCAGGTAAACACCAAAAGAACGAAGGAGTGCGAGACCTGTTAAAATGTTTCGAGTATTCTTGTAAACCAAATTTCCTCCTCCAAGATGTAATATTGTACAGTCGAAGACCCTCTCTGAATCTCCAACTTCGTTGTCCGTGTAACCTTTATGCTTCCTAGCACTGGACTGGCGACATAAACAAGCTCAACAGGCTTGCAAAGACGGTGCGACCAGAAGCCGCTTGGGACACAAGAGGCAGTTCGTGTTTGTAAACACCAAAAAGGTCTATACCAGTTGATTGAAAAACACAAAAAGTAAATGCACTGTAGCGAAACGTTATATATATATATATATATATATATATATATATATATATATATATATATATATATATATATATGAAAGACTTCGTACGCTGCAATGGCCGCGGCAGCTTACGCAACCCCAAACTTTACCGATCGGGAAACGGATGCGGGGACCGCTACGTGCTTGGCATTGTTAGCGGGACTAGTAATGTCACTCCACACTTCGAAATCTGCCGTTGCCGCGGCAGCTTATTGTATAGTATTGTGTTACATTTTATTTCAGACAAAAAAGACTGGGGGGGCTAGGGTAAAAGAAGACATGCTCGTCTTTTGACAGGACCCCAGCCCCAGGCTTTTACAGCACCCATCAGAGAAGATATTCAAAAACAAAGTGTAAAGAATCATTCTCACAAGTACCACATAATTTATCATTTGATAAACTATCAATTTGGTTTAAAAATTAGAAAAATTAAAAATTGGAGTACAAACTGCAGGTTACGAAAAATTTAATATATGGGTTACTAGGTTGTTCTTAAATGTCTCGAAGGACATATTATTTTCCATCATTTGAGTTATGGTGTGGTGTGTATTTAGGGTGTCTGGAACGAGATGTGAGAGTTGCTGGAAGCAATAATGAGTGCGGACCTTGCTTTTTATGTAATGGCCATCTCATAAACTGTAATTTCCTGGTATTTTTGGATACATGCTAAAGAAAAGTGATTGGTCCTGTGTAATTTGATGAAAAATAGTAATAAAATTTTTAGGAGCAGAATTTGATCTATAATTAGTAATTTTAACACCTGAAATGAACACAATGTACGATCACATTTTTTTAGGTTCCCAATAAACCGCAACCTCTACCGCCAAGCCCATTCGGGGACCGCTACGTGCTTATCACTGTTCGCGCGCGCCTTAGAATCGTCACGTGGTTTTGACACTTCTTTTGTGGTTTTCTTATTGAAACAAGTATCAAAACCACATGATAAATGATAAGGCGTGCGCGAACGGTGATAAGGCGCGCGCGTAGGTCTCCTGTAGGTGGACCCGGAAAAACCTGACCTACGAGTCATATATAACTTCGTTGTAAAAGTGCAACCACTGCTGAGACGATAGCAATTTTTAATTTCCAAGAAACGTCCACAACAATCACGATATCGAGGTACCTTATCTGAAAAGAGCGCGAGACGCTTCATGATGCACGCTGCAACGCGAAGCGCTCGCGTGGGTAGGCTCTAAAGGGACCTTGTCAAAGGAAGAAACATTCAGCGTGTTTTGAATAAAGCGCAGTCAGCAGCAAGCATGGAGGCTGAGTTAATCCTCGTTTAAGTTAACAGCGTGATGATGCGTCTCCCTTAGTTCACTTGACGTTGAAATCGACGCGAAGATCTCAATTCCAAGGAGTGACGTCAGACGCAAGGTGACGAGCGCTGCTGGCATCATCGCGTTTCTAGGAGGTCTAGAGAGGTGGGTATTTGGTGTAGGTTTGACACGCGTTATCTTCGTTGCACATTGCACAAAAAACCATGGGATTATGATATCCTTGAAACCAAGTTGGACAGATTGGTTGCTAATCACGTAACCTGTACATAAATATAAATCAGTCCCCGGTTGCGTTATGGGCGCTAGTAGAACAGAGGTACTGATCAGTATACGGAAATTCAGGTAGGATAGAACAGCACATAAATAATATCGGATCTCCCGCATGCACGACGCCTTTTACAAACCCTCGGGGATTATAAGCCCTGCGTGTAAACAATCCCGCTGCGATACTTTTGTGGTTCGTGCAGTTCCGACCGCCAAGCTGCGTGCTCCACGGGGAAGACTTAAGACCACGCTCGTTCCTTGTCGCTGAAATAGTTGCTCGTACTTAACAAACGTGTTATATGTGGTTGGAATTCATCGTAACTGTTGCTTCCTAGTGCTTGCATACACTTTTCAAACTCGGAAATTGCACGCGGGAAGGATTCCCGAATCCCGAGGAGATCAAACGGTTGTTTGCAAACAGAACATCGGAAACTCTTAGCACATAATTCTGATTATGTAACCATACTGCCGAGCCACGACTACACCCGACGGTGTAGAGCGTCCACAAAAAATAGAATAGAAATGAAACTTTATTCCAGTGGAAAGAAGGCAGCTGCTTGCGGCTCATGCGAGTTTGTGATCCGGCCTCAAGGGCCGTTCACATATTTGAGTCCGATTACATGTCATTCTACCACGATGAGTTACCTCGCTACCGTTACACGGAGGCTCACATTACTTCATCTAGGGGCTGTTGAATGGCGAACTTCTCTCTCAAGACGTTCTGGTTAGCCAACTCTGAGAAACGTGGCGGCCACAACGTTTCGTATCGACAGCGACGGATGACGGACACTTGCGACCAACAACTTTGCAGTCACTGATTGCTTAGGAAACGCAGGATGTGACGTGTTCCGGGCATATTGTTACCGTCCCGCACTCAATGCAAGTGCGTTATTTGCCGCGACGAACTCTCAAAGAAAAAAAAATATCATCAAACAAGAACTCGTGGATTGAACGATTGCCATGCTGGCTCAATATGATTACGTGACTCGGCTCACCGGCCTCGCCTTTCCTTTTTATTTTCGCGCACTTCTTTGTCCAAAAGCGAGTATCGAGGCTTATAAGGCCGATCTGGTCACAAAATAAACACATAGTTCTTACGGCAGCAAAGTCTTTGCTTATTTTCAACCGGGAGACCGCGAAAAATGTAACGGAACGCGTGGTGTTGCCTTTAAACTGGCTGCAAGCGGCTATAACTGCAGCGATCATGGATCCGGCTTTTCAC